GTTGGGGGTTCTTGGCACGATCCGTGAATGCGTCCCTCCACACGTTTGGTGTGAAGCCCTTACTCTAGGAAGGGATTTGCCAGGATTTACTGCGTTTCAGTTTCAGCGTGCCCGGGGAAGCCATTTTACACCCACTTACTTTCCTGCCCATTGACAGGTGATCCCTGTACCTTTCTTAGCAGACGCTGCAGGCAAATCTTTTTTTTTTTTTTTTAATTTTTATTTATTTTTTTTTTTAGGTTGGAGCTTTTAAGAACTTGTTTGTATGGGGAGCACTGATTATCAGGGGGCACTGAGGAAACCTGATGGAGTCTTTCTGGCCCTGTATGCCTCCTCCAGGTTGATTGTTGGCACCCCCGGGCTGCGCCAACACTGAATCGGATTCCATTGCATTTCGGGTTTTGTGACATCATGTTGGAGAGTTAGACCCGAGCTACTTTGCAGTGAATACCACTGCATCATCAGGAAATCCCTTAAAAATGGTATTAAGATGGCATACTGAACTTTTTCGTGAGAATAAATTCTTAATCGTCAGAGGGGTTTTTTTGTTGGTTCATACTCACTTTTTTTGACATAATATGAACATCATGTCGAATTGTGTCGTTGTGCCATTTTAAGCAAAATATTTTCCCCCAGGCATATGGTGTTCTGTGTCCTATTTATAGTTTCAAGTTTCCTTTAGTCAGTGCCTATCACAGGCCACACAATAGACATTTTTGGCCTTAAAAGCTTTCGAACAGATCTTTGGTATGTGTGGATTCTTTTTGTGCAGTTGAACGCAGAGAGAACATCAGTGTCTTGGCTCAACCCTGACTTTGCTAAAAGCCAAGAAATGCTTTACAGAAATTTTAAATTCCAGCAAAAGGATAGTAGGTGGCCTCAAAACAGTGCTTTTACTGATGATCAAGACATATTATTTTATATAAATGTCTTGCGTCCTCCTTGAAAATGTTCAAGTCTGCAGACTTGCAAGTACATCAGTAAATGTAATTTGTAAAATCTAGGGCACTGCATTAGGCAAATGTACTACATGATCTGCAGGAAAGATAAATCTACTTGAGCCCTGTTGTTGGCTGTAATCCAACTAGACAGTACTGGTGTGATAAAAGGACAGTACTCTGCATGCTTTGTGTACTGTTTGAACATGCTCTTTGTGGAAAGTAGCTATTGCTGTGCATGTGTTAGCATTTGGAAACGGCATGGCCTTTTGAACGATAATTAGAAAGCTTTCTAGCAGATGTAAGAGTGCTACATTAGGTAAACCTAATAAATGAGAAACCTGACTTTATAGTACTGGTAATCTTCATAAAAAGTCTTTTGCATTTCATGAAACAGTTTTAGACCTTTTTTTTTTTTAATAATGAGTTTTATACCTTTAAATATAATTTGGTTTCCATAACTTTGACTTACATGAACATTTTTTTAAGATAAGGGAACAGGGTCACTGAAGAGCAAGGCATCTCACACTCCTTCCCCTACCCTTCTCACCCCACCTGTCATCTGGGTGGAATAGGGTCAGTTATCAGACGGGAGAAGAGTTGTCATGAAAAAAGGATAGGGCTGTGCATAGATATTCAAATAAGAGTTCAGTGGAACTCTTACACCAGATGGGTAAAGTGGGTCTTTTTAACTCATTTTCTAATTGCTTCTCCTACCACTACCACTTACTAAGGCTTTGTGTGCCAGGTACATACTAGATGCTTTGCATAATCTTGATGTCTACATATTCCTGGTGTGGTAGATTTTCTTACCCCCATTTTATAGATGAGAAAATAGAGGCCAAGAGAGCATAGGTGATTTACATAAAATTCCATGGTTGGTTTGTGGTCTGAGTGATATTTTAGTCTGCCTATTTCCACTTGTTTTTATCTTTTATTTATTTTTTTATATTTATTTTTGAGAGAGAGAGTGCTTGGGGGAGGGGCAAAGAGAGGCACACAGAGAATCCCAAGCAGGCTTCCTACTCTCAGCGCAGAGGCAGAGCCAGCCTGTCACTGGGCTCAGCCCACAGACGGTGAGATCATGATCTGAGCCAAAATCAAGTGCGTCGGCTCAACCAGCGAGCCACGTAGATGCCCCTGTTTTTACTGTTTAAAAGTTGTGTGTGGCTCAATCAGGTAAGTGAACGACTTTGGCTCAAGTCATGATCTCACCGTTCTGTGGGTTCGGGCTCCGTGTCTGATGCTGTGCTGACAGCTCAGAGCCTGGAGCCTGCTTCGGATTCCGTGTGTCCCTTGCTCTCTGCCCCTCCCCTGCTCACGCTCTGTCTGTCTCTCGAAAATAAATAAACGTTAAAAAATTTTTTAAAGTTGGTGTGTGTTTTGTTTTTGCCTTGGAATAACAAAGATTTCCTTCAGTCCAGTAATGAAGCATGTTGATTTCAGGTATTTCTATTAGAGGTCATTTTTTTATTTTTTCCTTTTGATGAAGGCATAATTTGCATAGGGTGAGATCCACAGAAGTGTACAGTTCATTGAGTTGACAGATGCATACACCTTGTGTTACCCACACACCTAGAAAACATTTCCAAAACCCCAGAAAGTTCCCTTGTGCCTCTTCCCAGTTAATCCCTCCCACTGCCTCATCCCCACCCTAGAGTTTTACCTATTCATGTAAATGGAATTATACTGTATGTATTCTTTCGTATCTGGTTTCTTTCACTTAGCATCAGCATCTTTTAAATTCATTCATGTTAATTGGAGTATATCAGTAGTTTGTTGCTTTGTATTGCTGAGTATTATTTTATTGTTTGAATAAATCACAATTTATTTATCCATTTGCCAGATGATGGACATTTGGGTTGTTTCCAGGTTGGGGCCATTATAGATAAAGCTGATCTGGACATTCTTGCACAAGACTTTTTGCAGACATATGTTTTTATTTCTCTAGAATAAATGCCTAGCAGTGGAATTGCTGGTCATGGAGTAGAAATATATTTAACTTTATAAGAAACTGCTGAGCAGTTTTCCAAAGTGGTTCTGCCAGCAACGTATGGAGTTCCATTTGTTCCATGTCCTTGTCAACATTTAGGGTGGTCAGTCTTTAACTGTAGCCATTTTGGTGGGTATGTAGTTGCAGCTTATGGTAGCTTTAATTTGCATTTCCCTTGTGACTAATGATGTGGAACAGTTTATCTTTGTTTATTTGGCACTCATATATCATCTTTTGTGAAGTGCTATTTATTGCCCATTAAAAAAAATTTTTTTTATGTTTATTCATTTTTGAAAGACAGAGACAGCACAAGCAGGGGTGGGGTGGAGGGCGGGGGTTGG